TCATTTAGCATGTTAATGCATTACAATGAGGCTCAAGGTCTACTGGAAGTGAATCTTCCACCATCTTGGGCCTAACTGGCTCTAACCAGTTTTTGTCGGATCCTGTTTCTCTCAATGGCTCCTCAGGCGTGGGCCATGGATAGTGACTTTGTTCCCAAGGGGACAGGATGGAAAGGGGGAAGATTAAATTCAAAGTGGAGACACCTGATGAACAAACAGGACCTCAGCCAGGTGACCCAGGTCGACACGGACAGTGGGAGTCGTGTTCAAAGCATGGAGTCTTGCTGGGATGTGATGAGAAGGGCACTTCACCTCCGTGGTCCTCCTCTCAGTAACCATCACCCTGTCTACTCATGACAGAAAAACCCTGAGGGGTCCTGCAGGACCTCCGCCACAACACCAAAAACGAGGACAGTCATGGCCCAGAAGAGCCTAAGAAGACACAACGCCGATGCAGTGTGGGATCATGGGGCAGAAAAAAGAGGTGAGGGGAAAGTCAAGGACATATGAATAAGACTCTGGACTTTAACCCTCCTTTTGTTGGCAGAGATCAGGCGTGCGGTCTTGGGCCACGTAATGTAAGGACTCTGGTCCCCTCGGTGTCATGTCTTCAGTACTGGCAGCTTCCAAGCTCCAGGACACAGGGCAAAAAAAAAAAAAAAAAGACTGAATTTTAGCTGGTGATCATGTATAATATTGGTTGATAATTTTAACAAAGGGACCACACGATGGAGAATGTTAGTAACAGGGGAAGCTGTGTGTAGGTGTGTGGGGACTCTCACTCCTATCTCTGCAGTTGTGCATCTAAAGCTATTCTGTTAGAAAAAGTTTATTTAAAACATAAAAACGGGGACTTCCCTGGCGGTCCAGTGGTTAAGACTCCGCGCTTCCAATGCAGGCGGTGCGGCTTCCATCCCTGGTCGCGGAGCTAAGATCCCACACGCCTCGCGGCTAAAAAAACCAAAACATAAAAAAAAAACCCAAAAACCAGAAGCAATATTGTAATAAATTCAATAAAAACTTTAAAATGGTCCGCATCAAAAAAAATCTTAAAAGAGAAAAACGTAGAAAACGAATTTCAGAAACCCTGTTGGGGGTTCTGCGTGGATGAACACAGCTGGCGGACCAGGGGTGCTGTGCAGGGGCCGCGGTGAGCAGGCCCCGGGCCTCTCAGGTTGCCCTCCCCCCAGCCTCCCGGGCAGCCTGCGCCTTTCTCCCCTTCCCAGCGGTTGGAAGTACAAAGCCCTTCAAGGTAGACTCCAGCCGTCCCTTTGTTCCCAGCTAATTCTAATTGCAAAGCTCCCCATGCCTGGCAGCCTCCGAAGAGGAGGGCCCCCCCACCCACCCATCTCCAGCTGCGAGGTCCTCTAGGCATAACCAGTCGACCCGGGGCCCGGACGCCCTCCCACCCTGCCCACTCCGAGGTCCACGGTCGCTGCAGGCACTGGGTCCAATCCCCAGCCGAAATCCCCAGGCCTCCCTGGACAATGGGAGCCCTCCCTCCCCGCCCCCCTTCCAGCTCTCCCCTCCTCCCCTCCCCTTCCTCCTCAGCTCCTACTCTCACCCCCAGCCTAACTGTGGCTTCTGCCTGGGCAACGCTTTGCTTCTCACCCGGGAGCGGTGGTAGGGCACACCCACCCCCTCGTGCACGTGCTTGGGAACCAGCCTCGAAGGGCCATCAATACCGGGGCCCGGCGCGGGGCAGCCTCCTGCCCTCAGCTGAGGGTCTGCCGCAGGGGGAGGGGGTGTTGGCAAATACACCTTTGCGAGGCCCTGAGAACCCACCGAGGGCTGGAAACCCCTCTGCCTCTGTTGGAACACTGTAGACGTCCCTATCAGTTGAGACACTCCTAAGGACTGCTCGGGTCAACACATCGGAGGCCAGAGTTCCGACCCCAGCTCCCACTTTGAGAAACTCCTGCCTGATCATCCCGCCAGAGGCGAGGATGTGTTCGTGAACCTCATGCATCTCCAAAGCCCAGCTCACCCCGTCTGGACACGGGAGGCGGTGCAGCTTGTGTGCAGGGGTCGAGGGCTCCCGAGTCTCCCTCTTTAGCCTCCTGGGCCAGGTGGCAGGTGAGCTGAATCCCACAGGATCGGAAGGAGGTGCGGGGAGGCGCAGCACCCTCCAGCTCTGGAGAGCCCGTGGGCCAGCTCGTGCCCGATCTCGCACGCCTTGGAGGAGAATGTAGGTTGATCTTCAGCATAGAGGAAAGCACAGGGAAGAGCGTATATGGGGAGGAACCGGTCAGATCTCTGCTGCTGAGAGAAGCACGTGGTGCACGGGCCACAGGAGGAGACCACATGGGGGCTGGGGAGGCAGGGGATGGTCTCATCGCCCACTGGGGAAGACTGGCGAGGGGGAGGGAGCGAGGGTGTGGCCCTGTCGAGTGTGGTCTGGGGGCCTGTTGCACCCCCAGATGCGGAGGCCCGTGCTCCGAGTGGCTGGTGGTGGTCCCTGGAGCGGCGGTAGCCGCTCTCTGCAGCCGGCTCGCCCTTCGCAGCTCTCTTCAGCCACCTCCAGCGAAGCCACCTCGCTCTTAGCAGCCTCTGAGCCCACAGAGACAACGGCAGCCGCAGGTGGCAGTTCCCTCCCGGTCCTGCCACTGGCCTTGGAACATGTCCCCTCCCCTCCTGGGCACGGCAGCCGAGGTCCCCACCCCTGCTTCTCAAGCTCCCTCGGCCTTGCTCGGTTCACCCTCTGCCGTCTTCAAAAGTGCCATTCCCAAAGTGCAATCAGCTCACCACGTCCTTCCCCAGCCCCTGCCTTCTCTCCCCACCAAGCTCCTCGGACAAGCAAGTTCTTAAATTCTTGAGTCTCCTGCCCCCGGCCACGGCCTCACTTCCCTGAGCTTCCCCTGGCGCCATCCGGCCTCTCCATCGAAGCCAGCCCTCACCCAGGTCACCGCCAGCTAACGAACGCCCTCCCCTTGCAGGCGTCACACCCTCGGCCGCAAGCACGCCCTGCCCCTTCCCCTCCACTTACTCCACCGGATCCTCTTTCCCCTCTCAGACTGCATAGGGGTGCCTGTGGTTCACTGGGCCGGGCCCCTTCCCCCTCAGTCCTTGCCCTGAGGGTGGCCCCTGCTTCCCCAGGCCATCTATGGGTCACTCGTAGGCTGGGCCAGGGAAGGCTCGAGATTGGGTCTCCCGAGGAGCACTGGGACCCCGCCCCCTCGAGGGTCCCCGAGCCTCCAGTGCCCCCGCCCCACCTAAACACTGGAGACCCCGCCTGTCTCCCACACAGGCCCGTTAAGGCTCCTCCAGCAAGCCTGGGTGTAGATGCTGCCCCTCCCTCACCTAACAGGTTCAAGCTGGCTCAGGCCGGAACTGCTTTTCTTCCTAAAGCCGCCCGGACGGCTGAGGGTTTAGCTTAACGGGATGAGCCATCTGGGGACTGCAGCGTGGCGACTGGGGAGCCTGGGACTGGGGTCAGGGGTGGGGGTGGGCACACTTCACATCTCCAGCCAGGATAATGACCCCTTCCTTCCCCATCCTATAGCTACTCTTGGCCCCGGAAAATTCCGAACAGGCTGCTCAGCCGCTGATGGGGAAGCAGCTGAACAACCTTGCCCTTGCTGGGGAGGCCTGCAGGTCCCTGGGGAGAGAAGCATAGAGGGTGCGGAGCTGGGCCCTCTTAGCTGAGGCCTCTGGGGGAGGGTCTGTGCACCTACCAAGCACCAGGGGGCAGCCTTACCCTACTCCTGCCAGAGTCTCACATAAGTCAGGCAGGGGTAGGGGTGGCAGGAATCCCTACCACCCTCCACTTCGGTGAAAAGGTGTAGCATTGCCCCTCTGCCTGCTTAGGAGACCCACGGAGACCTGTCACTCCAGGAGCTGGGACCCTGACCCCCAGCTACCAGTGCTGTGTGCCCCAGGGAGGGCCGAATGGCAGGAGACAGGGTCTTGGCCTGGTCTTGGCCACAGCACACACCTGGAGGCATACCCACACCCCCGCCCCAGCCGTTCCCCGATTTGGCCAGCTGGGCCCAGCCCTGCAGGAGGCGGAAGCACCCTGCACCCCCTCTGGTGCAGGGGAGCCGGAAAGCTGTAGGCCTTGGTACCCAACAGTGGCCCAAGCTGCAGCTGGGAGTCAGAGAAGGGCCCGAGATGGGACAGGCTGGAAGGAGGAGGGAAGAGGTGGGGCAAGGATGTCGAGAAGGCAGCCAGGGTAGTTGCTGGCCCAGAACCGGGAAGGGCAGGTTAGGAGGGTCGACGTGAACCAGGCCCGGGTGAACCTGGGGTCAGGGGCGGTTCGGCTCCTGGGAAGGAGGTGCTGGCCGGCGCCCCAGGTAGCAGCCATCCAGCTTCCCGCTGGAGCGGCGTCGCCTCCTCGGGAGGAGGGCGGGAGGAGGTGGGCGGAGTGACGGGGAGGGCAGGCGGGAGGGAGGGACGGAGGAGGGGGAGGGGGAGCAGTCCAGTCGTGGGGGTGGGGCGACAGTGACATCATCCCGAAGTCGGTTCTTAAGCGGCAGCCGGTCGGGCCGGGGAGGAGAGGCAGGATCGCAGCGCAGTGGCGAGTCGCTGAGCCCGCCGCGGCCCCGAGAGCGGCTGGAGCCGCCGCCGCCGCCGCCGCCGCCAGGAAGGAGGGGCGAGCGCGCCTAGGCCGCCGCCGGGGGAGCCGCGCGCGAGCCGAGCAGCCGCGCGGGTCCGGGCCGGGGCGGGGGGCGCGGGCCGTAGGCCCCTGCTCCGGCCGCAGCTTGCAGACACTGGGCTCCGGTGGGCTCCGGCTGCCACCCGCGCCCCGTTAGGCTGAGCCTCGGGCCGGCCGAGCAGCAGCCGCCGCCGCCGCCGCCGCCGCCACCGCGGGAGCTGCGGGCAGGAGCCTCGGGAGCCGCCGCCGCCGCCCGGCCGGGCCCCGCCGCCGCCCGCGCGCCCCCGGGCCCCCGACACACACCCCATTCTTCAGGCTCACTTTCATGCTTCGTGGACTGCTTCTGACCGCGCCGCCCCCGCCGTCCCGCACCCCGCCCGCCGCCCGCCCGCCGCCCCGACCCCCGGTCCGGCCGCCCCCGGCCCCCGGCGGGCCCGCGCCTTCGGGCCCCCCCCCCAGTGCCGCCAGCGCCCCCGCCGCCCGCCCGCTCCCGCGGGGCGCCGCGCCCCCGGCCATGGCGAAGAAGGGCGCCAAGAACGGCATCTACAGCGTGTCCGGCGACGAGAAGAAGGGCCCCCTGATCGCGCCCGGGCCCGACGGGGCCCCGGCCAAGGCCGACGGCCCCGCGGGCCTGGGGGCGCCTGGCGGCCACCTGGCCGTGCCACCGCGCGAGACCTGGACGCGCCAGATGGACTTCATCATGTCCTGCGTGGGCTTCGCCGTGGGCCTGGGCAACGTGTGGCGCTTCCCCTACCTGTGCTACAAGAACGGCGGAGGTGAGCGCGGGCCCCTCCCCCGCCTGCCGCCGGCCCCGCCGGGGCGCCCGTGCGAAGTCCAGGGGGTGGGGAGGCCCCCCCCGGGACGGCCGGGGGCGGCCCCTCGCCCGCCGTCGCCGCGCGGTGGCCCAGCCGGGCGGTCTCCGCCCCCACCCCGGCCGGTCATGTGCCTGGCAGCGTGTGGGGGGAGGGGGCCGGCGAGCCTCCTGCCGAAAACGCCGAGCTGCCCCCACAGACTCTGGGCCCGAAGTGATTGGCCACCGAGGTGGCAAGGCGAGGCCTCCCCCTTGGGGGGGCTTCCAGAGGTGAGGAGCCCTGGCTGCCCCCACAGGTCAGGCACACAAGTGGCACATTGTGTGGGCCCCCCACGTGTGCACACACGAACACACACACAATGGGCCACTCTGTCCCTCCCTCTGCTTTCCCCTCCCTTCCCTCCTCTCTTCTCTTCCCCTCTCTCCCCTTCCCTCCCCTCCCCTCCCTCCCCTCTAGCCTGGGCCTGGAACACTGGGTGCCTGAGCCAGGCTTGGGAAGCCTGCAGCCTGGGCCGCCTGGCGCCGCCGCTGGACACACTGCATGTACACCCCATGCCCGCCCCAGCCCAGCTTAGCAACAGCGATGGGCACGCGTGTGTCCTGTGACTGCAAAGCGGCACCAGGGTTGGTGGGAAGCCGCAGGGACTAGATGACGGGTGGGAAACTGAGGCCCAGAGAGAAGGCCTTTGCCCAAGGTCACAAGCAAGAAGGATGCTGAGACCTGAAGCCAAGCAAGCTGCAACCAAGCTCAGCTTTTGAGTAGTGGAGAGCGCCGAGCGGGGGCGAGGGTAGGGGGCCTGGAGAGGAGAAGGGCTCCCCCACCCCCAGCCTGAGGTCCCTGCCAGCCTCCCCCAACCTCGTCTCCTGTCCTTGCTCATATGCCCTTTCAGACACCCTCCACTCTGCCCACTGGCAGACGACTGCTACCCACCTACCCACCCACCCTCTCCCCTGCACCTTCACACTTGCAGGAAAGAGTCTGGGTGCCGGCACAGGCCAGGACTCCCTTCCCCTCGCCCAAGCTCGGCACGTCCCCGGGCCTGAGCGCCGGCCACGGAGTGGCTTGTGTCCACAAGTGCGTGTGTCCTCCGTGCCCGTTAGTTAGGTCACCGTAGGTGAGTAGGGGCAGAAGCCTTGGAGGGGACCCCCAGCCCAGGAAACAGGGCTCTAAGGCCCAGGGGCTGCCGTAGGCCCCTCGACACTCCACCTCCCCAAGACTGTTCACCTTGGGCCCCTGAGTCAGCAGCCACCCCTTGCACTGATTCACTCAGTGGGAAGTTATGATGGGCCCTGGGCGGAGCCTGAAGCTGGGGCTCCACCCGCCTCCCAGGGCTTCTGAAAGCCAGGCTGGCTGGCCTGGCCTGGCTGAGGAGTTTGGGTCAAGTCCCCACATGGCTAAGGGGCCACCCTGTGCAAGTGGCCACCTTGAGCTTCATCCCCCAGGTGTGTTCCTCATTCCCTACATCCTGATCGCCCTGGTCGGAGGAATCCCCATTTTCTTCTTGGAGATCTCGCTGGGCCAGTTCATGAAGGCCGGCAGCATCAACGTGTGGAACATCTGCCCCCTGTTCAAAGGTGAGCATCCCCAGGCAGCCCCTCTCACCCTCTCCCTCCGGGACCTCTCCCCTTTCCCGCCACTGGGGCAAAGCTGGTACCCACTTGAGAAACCTCAAGTCTGAGCACCTCCTGTCTGAGCACCAGGCCTGGGATGCCCCCCAAGCTGTGAGGGAGAACCTGGAGGACGTGCAGACCACCTGGCTGACCTTGGGGAGGTGGAGACTAGAGTGGGGGATGGACCTCTCCACCAGGGCGAGAAAGCCCAGTCCCAGCAGCGCCCGGGACAGGCCCTGCCGAGTATACTTGGCTCGCTGGGGCTGAAAAGAGGGTGGCTGGGTGTGAGACGCGATGGCAGGAGAAGCCAGAGGGCCATCCTAAGGAGCTGGGACGGGAGCCATTGAAAGTTCAGGGTCTGAAGGGAAGGACCAGTGGGCAGGGTTACCACCAAGCCCCTTCTGTGTGTGGGCAGTGTTCCCCCATCAGCTCAAGGCCCTAGGAGGTAGGTCCTACTGTTACCGTCCTCGGAGGCTGGGGCACAGAGAGGTAAAGTAGGGGCACAGAGAGATGAAGTAAGTGACTGGCCGAGGTTGCCTGCTGAGAGGGTGACTGTCTCCCACGCTGCCCCAGGTCCCCAGCAAACCCCCCAGCTGCTGGTACGGGAGGCCATTGGGTGGGGGGCAGGTGGAGGCATGGCCTTCCTTCAACCATCATGGTGGCAGTGGGACCCAGGAGAAGGGGACAGGTATGTGAGACTAGGGAAACAAAAGGACTTGACTCTCAGATGGGGGCAGGATGTGTGCTCTGCTTTGGGGCTGGGGAGGATGCAGGAGGTGAAGCAGGGCGGGGGCAGGGAGCAGGGGCTGATTTGGGGGGACAGATTGAGGAGTTAGCCTAGCGCTGGGGACACAGTGCAAGGGAGACTCCAAGGGGACTTGGAGAGGTCTGGTTGGACAGCAACAGAGAAGGATCTAGTTGCACGGATGGCGGGGGAGGGGGAGGACGGCAGATGCAGGGAGCAGGATGTTGGGGTCCAGCAGGGACCGCTGGCAGTGCCTGGCCACGTACATAGTGGGGACGGTGGGGAACTGGCCAGAAAAGAGCCTGCACGGAAACTCTGCTCCTCTCCAGGCCTGGGCTATGCCTCCATGGTGATCGTCTTCTATTGCAACACCTACTACATCATGGTGCTGGCCTGGGGCTTCTATTATTTGGTGAAGTCCTTCACCACCACGCTGCCCTGGGCCACGTGTGGCCATACCTGGAACACTCCCGACTGTGTGGAGATCTTCCGCCACGAAGACTGTGCCAATGCCACCCTGGCCAACCTCACTTGTGACCAGCTTGCTGACCGCCGGTCCCCTGTCATCGAGTTCTGGGAGTGAGTCAGGCACCTCTGGGCCAGGCCCCGCCTGTCTCTCTGGTCTCCCACACGTAGCTCAAGTCTGCATGTGTGTGCGTGTGCACGCGCGCGTGTCTCGGGGCCCGCCCTGGGGGGATGAGGCCAGGGATGCGGAGCGGGCGGTGCCTGCCCGCCTGGGGAGGGAAGCGGGGGGCTGCTGCTGGGCCCACTGGGGACGGCGTGGGGCCGGACCGCCAGGGGCTCCAAGGCTCCGGGGACACAGACTGCAGCGACTTCAGGCTGCAGGCTTGGCCCGGGCTGGCCTGGTGCATGGGGGAGACCGGCGGGACGCGGGGGCTGTGGGGGGGGGGGGGGGGGGGGGGGGGCGGGAGGCGCCACCCCAGGGCCACCCCCAGTCTCCTGGCCCTTTGCTGGCACAGCCCTCATGGGCTTTCCCTCCCCCAGGAACAAAGTCTTGCGGCTCTCCGGGGGGCTGGAGGTTCCGGGGGCCCTCAACTGGGAGGTGACCCTGTGTCTGCTGGCCTGCTGGGTGCTGGTCTACTTCTGTGTCTGGAAGGGGGTCAAGTCAACAGGAAAGGTACAGCCGGGGTGACGGCAGGCCTGGGGGCAGCACTGCCTGGGGGGTGTGGGTGTCTGCCAGCAAACACTGCTGCCAGGGGAGGAGACGGCACCAGGGCCAGAGCCTGAGGAGGGGCAGGGACTTCAGTCCGGACCACTTGATCCCCACACCCTGGCTGGAGAGTCCTCTCCACCCTGCGCCTCCAGGCCCGGCAGCCTTCCCTCCCGAGTGGAGGTGGAGTGGCCCCGGCAGCGGCTGCCCCTTCCCTGGGGTGGGGGGCATCCCTGGCTCGCCTTCCCTGGCTCGCCTTCCCTCCCTTCCAGTTTCTCTCAGTTCTGGCTCTGCGTCAGCTTTTGACCTTCTCGGTCTGTCTCTCTCACCTGCCTGTCTGCCCTCGGGGACCCAGCGGGGAGCGTGGACCCATCCCTCCCTCAGGGGCTCCCTGTCAGGTTGTGGGGACAACTGTGTCAACAGACACACAATAAGACAGCCTGCCGGTGGTTGCGGGACACGCGGGACACGGCCAGGTCTCTGGAGGGCGGGAGCGTTCCGGCAGGGTCCGCAGAGCAGCCGCTTGGCGCTGCTTGCGTGGGAGGCAGAGGCCTTTGCTGTCGTCTTGATCTTGCCTGTGTCTCTGGCTAGCTGAGTTCTAATCCCCGGCACCAAGGACCCCCGCCTCTCTGCAGACCAGGACCTGGAGTCGGCACGGGAGGTGTGGGACCTGCCTGCGGGCTGCGGCCTCGCTCCCTGCCAGGGGAGGGCCCTGCCTCTCCCTCCCTCTGCAGCTGACCTGTGCTCGCCTTGGGGCTGCTGGTGCCCCAGCCAAGCACCCAGCTTCCTTTGGGAGGAGTCGTGGCTCTGATGAGTAGAAGGGGGTGCCACTGGGCCGCCCCCCGGCCCGGCACTGAGCAGGCGGGGGGGGGGGGGGGGGGGGCGGGCGGGGACGGTGGCCTTCCTGGCAGCCCTGTGCAGGCGGGGGAGGTGGGTGCCACAGGACCCCTCTGAGCACCCCCGCCCCCCAGGTCGTGTATTTCACCGCTACATTCCCCTACGTGGTCCTCGTTGTGCTGCTCGTGCGTGGAGTGCTGCTGCCTGGAGCCGTGGACGGCATCATCTACTATCTCAAGCCTGACTGGTCGAAGCTGGCGTCCCCTCAGGTGAGGTGGAGGTCGGGTGGGGGGACACGGTGCGGGAGCAGGCCGGCCTAGCAGGGCTCCTCACACCTGCTCTCCCCTCGCTCATCTCCAGGTATGGATAGATGCCGGGACCCAGATTTTCTTTTCTTACGCCATTGGCCTGGGGGCCCTCACGGCCCTGGGCAGCTACAATCGCTTCAACAACAACTGCTACAAGTAGGCACTACAGCCCTGCCACCCCTGCCCTGCCTGCCCGTGGCCAGCAGGCAGTCTCACCAGCCCACACGGTCCCCTCTGCCCCCAGGGATGCCATCATCCTCGCACTCATAAACAGCGGGACCAGCTTCTTTGCTGGCTTCGTGGTCTTCTCCATCCTGGGCTTCATGGCCACAGAGCAGGGCGTGCACATCTCCAAGGTGGCGGAATCAGGTAAAGACGCCCCAAGCCCCAGCCCGGCCTCCGGAGCAGCGGTAGCTGCTGTCGTAACGGACCGTGTACGCGAACGCACACAGAATGACGTTCTGAGAAATGAGAACAATTCAAACTCAATTTGTCCCATCACTCTGGGCCAGGAGGCCTGGCTGAGCAGCTGCGAGGCACAGCTGTCCAGCCACCTCAGGCCAGGCCACGTGGAGCCCCGAGCCCCCATCCGTCTGTATCCAGGGGCCTCGGGGTATGTCCTCACACTTGCCTGAGTGTTGTAGAGAGAAAGGTCGGCCTTTTCTGGGTCAGTGGTGATCTGCGACCACAGTAGCTGCCGGAACCCAGGCACAGAAGGCTGAGCCAGACACGCCACTCTTATGGGTACAGGTCTACCAAGGGCTTGCGGGAACCTTCCAGCCCCTGGTATGGCGCGCACACGCACGCGCACACCCCCCCACACACACACACGAGGGCTCGAGTGGCCCGGCAGTGTCTTGACAGAAGTCGAAAGGCCCTTGGCCACAGGGTGCCCTGGCATCGTCCACTCCTCTGGTACCGTGGTGCAGTGTGGAGGGGGACAGGACGTGGGTGGGGGTGCTCCAGGTGTCCACACCCTGCCCCTTCCCCTTCAGGGCCTGGCCTGGCTTTCATCGCCTATCCCCGGGCCGTCACGCTGATGCCTGTGGCCCCGCTCTGGGCTGCTCTGTTCTTCTTCATGCTGCTGCTGCTTGGCCTTGACAGCCAGGTTTGAGAGGGGGGACGCAAGAGAGGGGGATGGGAGGTAGGGGGGAGGGGGGCTGGCGAGCAGAGGGCACACTGGGCGACGGGAGATGGCAGGTGGGTGGGGAGGGGCACGGCCTGAGTTGCCCGGCCACAGTTTGTAGGTGTGGAAGGCTTCATCACCGGCCTGCTGGACCTCCTCCCGGCCTCCTACTACTTCCGTTTCCAAAGAGAGATCTCCGTGGCCCTCTGCTGCGCCCTCTGCTTTGTCATTGATCTCTCCATGGTGACCGATGTGAGTGGGGGCAGGGTGAGGGATGCCCCTGGCCTCAGGCTGCCGGCTGCCACCTTCCCTGACCTGGCTCCATCCCCAGGGCGGGATGTATGTCTTCCAGCTGTTTGACTACTATTCAGCCAGCGGCACCACCCTGCTCTGGCAGGCCTTCTGGGAGTGTGCGGTGATCGCCTGGGTGTACGGTAGGTCTGGGCCGACAGGCAAGCCGGGGGTGCGGTGCGGTCAGGGGTGGTGCGTCTCTAGCCCTGGCCCTCCGGCCTCACGTTACCCCAGGAGCCGACCGCTTCATGGACGACGTGGCCTGCATGATCGGGTACCGACCTTGCCCCTGGATGAAATGGTGCTGGTCTTTCTTCACCCCGCTGGTGTGCATGGTAAGGGCCGGGAGAGGCTGGGCAGGGCGAGGGACACTGAGGGCTCGCAGTGGTGGCTGCCGGCTGAGCGCGAGGCTTCTCGCCCGCAGGGCATCTTCATCTTCAACACGGTGTACTACAAGCCGCTGGTCTACAACAACACCTACGTGTACCCGTGGTGGGGCGAGGCCATGGGCTGGGGCTTCGCGCTCTCCTCCATGCTGTGTGTGCCCCTCCACCTCCTGGGCTGCCTCCTCAGGGCCAAGGGGACCGTGGCTGAGGTCAGTTCCCCGCGCCCCGTCTCCCGCACACCATCCCTCCCTCCCGTTGGGTGGAGACGTGATGTCCAGAGCGCCCTGCCCCTTCTCCCACCCGCCGGGAGGGACAGACCGTTGTGCCGGAGCCTCTGGGCCAGCTCGGAGGGGGGGTGTACGGGAGGAGAGTTGGCCCTCCAGGGCCTCGCTCAGGTGGTGGCGGCAGAGGAGAGGCCTGTCCCTAGCCTCTGTTCTAGCAGCCACTCGGCCCTCCACTGAACCCCTATTTCCCTAGCGTAGGGAGCGGGGCCTGGTCAGGAGGGGCGCGGCCCCGGGCCCCAAGTTGGTGGCAGGTGGCGGGAAGCGGAGAGAGGCCAGGGACAAGCAGGTGCCCCTCCCCAGGGACCCAACGTGTCCCTCTCTCCCGCAGCGCTGGCAGCACCTGACGCAGCCCGTCTGGGGCCTCCACCACTTGGAGTACAGAGCTCAGGACTCGGATGTCAGGGGCCTGACCACCCTGACCCCAGTGTCTGAGAGCAGCAAGGTGGTGGTGGTGGAGAGCGTCATGTGACAGGTGCCCCGGCTCACATCACCAGCTCACCCTCTCGTAGCCATAGCAGCCCCTGCTCTAGCCCCCCACCCCCCCAGGGGGCTTGCCTTTCCCTGACACCTATGGGGTCTGCCTGGGGGGGGGGGGGAGGGGAGGAAGCACCAGAGTGCTTATAACTAAAATAACTTTTTCCATTTTTAATAAAATGCCAAAAATATCACAACCCACCAAAACTAGATGCCTCCCCCACCCCCCTTAACCAAGCTGGTGCCCACGCTGCTTCCCAAGCCCTGCCGCCCGCCCTCCAGTGCCCGCTACCGTCACGTCTCACCTGACCCCACCAGGCCCTGCCTGCCTCTGTCCAGGCTCTGCCCAGCACACCCTTGGGTGGCCCCTCACCCCAGGGGCAGCAGTGGCAGCTCGGGGAACAGGGGGACTGGAGAGCAGAGGGGGCAGGCGAGGGGGGGGCAGCAGAACCAAGGCGAATATTTCAGCTGGGCTAGACCCCTCTCCCCGTCCCTACTCTAGAAGCTTAGAGAGCCAGCCAGCAAGGGAACCTTCAGTTCCTGAGCCAATTGCCACCAATAGCAGTTGTGTGAGCTTGAGTGCATGTGTGCGTGAGTACATAGGGTATAGACATAGATCTCTATTTCTTAGCCAAGGTGAATACCAGGTGTACATTGTGCCTGTGGGCAAATGAGGCTTGTATTTTGCACATTTTATAAAAACTTGAGGAGATTTCTGCTTGTATATTTCTAAGAGAAACACCCCAACGTCCCTCTCCTTGCCACGCCCCATCCCTTTCAGCCCCTCTTACACCTCTGCCCCAGCCAAGGAGTGTGAATTTATAGATCTCATTTTCATAGGCAAAACAGAAGCTTCAAGCTGTTGAGTGTGTGAGTCTGTCGTGTGGGTATGCACGTGTAGTCCCTGGCCCCAGACTGGGGTGGGAAAAGTGCATGGTGGGGACCTCAGTGGGTGTCCGCACACTCCCCGCTCTGCCCACAGGTCGGCAGGGTGAGCCGACGCAGGGTTCTGCGGGGGGATCCGGACCTGGGGCTGCTCACCCAGCATGCTCAGGCTGACCCACACCCTGCGCCCTGGGCCGGGTGCCCCTGCGGCAGGGGTCTGAGGTGGGCATCCGTCCCCCGCCCCAGGGATCCTGCGCGCGGCTCCCACCTGCGAGCTTAAGGCTGACGCACTTTCCACGTCTTAAGTCCTCCGCGTAGCAGCTTCACTTAACCCACGTCTGTGTCACGTCCAATCCCGAGACAGCCGAGGGGGCCCTAGAAAGGCTTCCCTCACACCCTGACGTGGGCTGGAGGGGTGGGGGGCGGGTGAGGGCGGCGGTCCAGCGGGGACACCCTTACTGTGCTCAAAAGCCACTGCAAACATAGCAATAAAAACATGTCATTTTCCAAAAGCTGGCTCCTGCCCCCCCTCTGTTTGTCAGGTGCCAGAGCTGCGGGTGGAGGCCTCCCCACCTCGAGCAGCTTCCTTGGGCAAGTATTCGCCCTGAGGGTCTCTGCACCCGGCACTGTTCTGGGAACTTGGAACGGAACAGGGAAGGAATCCGGCAGGAAGCCTTTTCCCCACGGAGCTGACATACTTGGGGAGCAAGGATAACGGCGTGCTAAAGAGGAGCACGCCGAGCGGGGAAGGTGGGTGTGAAGTCCGGGCGCTGAGGTTTGCAAAGGCTGCCCAAATGCTGCACTGAACAGGTGCTCTTCCGAGGGCAGGCGAGGGAGAAGGCTGGGGAGGAGGCTCCGGCAGAGCCCCCGCGAGGAAGGTGGAGATCACTGGGTGGGACCAGGGCACTAGCAGTGCAGGTGAGAAGTCTCTGGGTTAGGGACCTGTTTGCAAGGCAGAGCCAACAGGCTTTTGGATGGCTGGGATGCCAGGGACGATGGCAGTTGCCAGGCCCTGTACCACGGAGACGAGGAGGTTTGGAGGGAACGGTGGTGTCAACTGAGTAGAAATGTCCAGTAGGCAGGTGGACAAGGAGTTTGAAGTTCTGGAAAGAGTCTGGGCTGGAGACAGAATTTTGGAAATTCTCATTACATAAAGATGGCCCCGAGAGCCCCGAGCCTGGATGAGCTCCCCAAGGTGGGGGGGGGGGGGGGCCACGGGCAGCTGGAGAGGGAGACGTGGCCCAAGCACTTGAGTGGCCCTGGGACACTCAAGAGGTGGCAGAGGGCTTCCCTGGTGGCGCAGTGGTTGAGAGTCCGCCTGCCGATGCAGGGGACACAGGTTCGTGCCCCGGTCCGGGAGGATCCCACATGCCGCGGAGCGGCTGGGCCTGTGAGCCATGGCCGCTGAGCCTGTGCGTCCGGAGCCTGTGCTCCGCAACGGGAGAGGCCGTGACAGTGAGAGGCCCGCGTACCGCAAAAAAAAAAGGTGGCAGAGAAGAGCGGGGACCGGCTGCAGAGTCTGAGGAGGCTCGGGAGGGGCCCCCGAGTGCCAGACGGGTCCTGGAACACATGTGAGGACCCCCCCAACCCCGCCCTGGGCGTCAGGGAGGAGGGAGCAGTGGGCTCTGTCGGGTGCTGCCCACGGTCACGGGAAGTGAGGCCCGAGATCGCCAGCTGCGTTTGGCGACAAGATCGGTGACAAAATCGCGGAGACCTGGATGAGAGAGGTCTGGTGTGGGAGGAAGGGCCAAAGTCTGATTGGAGTGGTATTAGGAAAGGAGTGGAAGCAACCCAAGTGTCCACCGACAGAGGAACAGATGAAAACAATGTGATCCATCCACACGATGGAACAAAAATCAGCCTTAAAAAGGAAGGAAATTCTGACACCTGCTACAACACGGATGAACCTCAGACATTACGCTCAGTGGAAGGGAAGCCAATCACAAAAAGACATAGTGTGTGACTCCACTTCTATGATGGCCCTAGAGGAGTCAAATTCAGAGACAGAAAGCAGAACGGTGGGTGCCAGCAGATGGGGGGAGAGGGAAGGGGAGTTAATGTTTAATGGCGAGAGAGGCCACACACAGTGTAAGTGTACTTAATGTCACTCAACGATAATCCTAAAAATGGTTAAAGCAGAGTTTGAGATTACACACACTTTAGCCCAGTGTAAGGGAAGGGGTGGGGAAGACCTGGAGAAAGTGAACCCATTCAGGTCCTTGGCTCCATCCCGAGTGATAGGAGGAGGAGCATGACAAGGCAGGGACACGGGGTGGCCAGGACCAGCCCGGTCATCATCTGAGGCAGGCCTGGGGTGGGGGTCAAGGTTGGGAACCTGCTGCCCACTCTGAATGCCAGCCTGGGCAGAAGGGAGGGGGTGGCCCTTCAGAGAAAAGTGACAACTTGCTCCTCTTCAGTCCCTCCCAGGCCAGTCCCTCTCTTTAGCAAGGCACAGTCCCCTTAGAGAGGAGGGGGCTTTAGCCCACTGTACAGCCGGAGATGGGCTCCTGCCTGTGACACGGCCATCAGCCCATGCTCTCATGATCACCAAGAAGAACCCAGACAGAGCACAGGTCACCGCAGAGCTTGGGAAGGAACATCGGCCGAGCAGGCCCAACCCCAACTCGACCTGGGCCTTTAGAGCCTTTGCTGGCGTGGAGAGGCGCCTCGGCGGTGCGACGGTGGCCCGGGCCCTGCAGGCCCAACACCTGACGACCGTTCTTCCGACCCAACCCGTCCCACCCTTCTCTTAAAAGACTTTTCACCCTACAAACCTCTGCTCTCGCCACGCCCACAACTCCAAGAACCCCGTGTGCTGGCAGCTCCCCAAACCTGCAGCCTGGCTCTCCTGAGCAGGCCCCTCACACGGTGCCCAGCCCCCACCCTGCATCCGCTCCTCCATCAACAGTCCCTGCCTCCCCTGCGGCTGGGCCTGCTGTCACCCCCAGGCCCTCGCTACTCCCCACCCTGACTCATACCAACTCCTTGACGTCTCTGTTCCCCCGACCACCGCCATGCCTTGGCTCAGGTCCTCATCACCTCTTACCAAATGGCCTCCAAGCCACCTACCACAGGCCAAGAAAGACTCAGAAAACATCAACAGCACAAAAAAGGGAACTCAGGGAATTCCCTGGCGGTCCAGTTGTTGGGACTCTGTGCTCCACCACAGGGGGGCCGGGTTCGACCCCTGGTCGGGGAACTAGGGTCCCACAAGCCATGCGGTACAGCCAGATAAATTAATTTTAAAAATTAAAAAAAAAAACAAAAAAGGGAACTTGACAGAGGTCATGCTGCTTGGCCAGGGCCCTGAGAGCAGTGGGCTGGCCCCATTCACTTGGGAATCTGTCCGTCCAGTAGGGGCTGAGAACCCAGTGACCAGCAGCCTAGCGGGGGAGACAGGCAAGGAAATGGAACAGCCCAGACCCGTGGAGCCCACGGGGTTACCAGAGCTGGAGGCAAGACAGGGGATACTGTCGGGCACAGCCCCACTCGGAATGGAGGCTGCCGGAGGAAAACAGCCCTCAGGATGGGCCAGAGGGGGCTGGTTTCCTCAGGCGGCCCTCCAGTGTAGGCTGGGCGAGCACCTGGCTTTTCACCTGTCAAGAGTCTGCTGCCCCTGCCACTGTCTCTTCCCGTCCCCAGCCCGGGGCCTGATGCCAAGGGGGTTCAGGGACCACCTGGGACTGAACAGGGAAGAACCTAGAGGCACACTGTTTGGACTTTGGCCTGTAGAAGTTCAGAGAAGAGCGAGCTCAGGGAGGCCGAGGTCGTCAGGGAACACTTCCTGGAAAAGTGGGCCTGGCCCTCAGCCTCGGCATAGCAACCAGAGGGCGTCACCTGTGGGCTCCCTCCCCGGCAGACACCACCTAGAAGGCTGCCCGGAAAGGGGCGGCATTCCTCGTGAGAACGTGGGGAAACGACAGCCCTGAAGGGAGCCACCAGCCTGCGCCTGGCAGGAGGAGCAGGTGCGCAAGGCTGGGTGTCAGCACCATCTTCAGGGGCCCCTTAATTCCAAGAGAAAACACCTCCGACCTTACCCCAATTCCCCTCGCCCAGCCCTCAGGGCCAGCAGAGAATGAGCACTAGGGCCTGCCCAACGGCGGCCACCTGCCAAAGCCAGCCCAGGGGGCCGCCAAGGGGGAGCCCGCTGCCAGAGCAGGCTGTCCGATCAGGGCGGTGCACCTACATGTTCACGGGCCGCAGGTGGCAGAGGAGCACTTCACCCGCCCGGAGGCCCTCCCCACTGCCTCGCTCTGCCCTGGGCCAGTCGCAGGTCACTGCCAAGGGCAAGTCTCCTCTCTTGCCAGCATTAGTCAGAGGTCATCCTGCAAACCTTTGGGAGGGGGTGGGGCAGGGAGTGACTGGTGGCACTCTGCCATGCTCTATCTGTCCTAAATGTGATGAAGAGGACCCAGAGGAGGCAGGCGAGTCTGCCACCCGGAAGCCCCAGCGGTTTACCTTGCCTCTCAAGCTTCCCCGGGCCCAGCAGCCAACCCCCAGGAAGACCGACAGGACGGACACACCCCACGTGGCCATAAAGCGGAGCCTGGCCTGGGGAGCAGGAGGCAGAGGGGCAGAGAGGGCAAGTGTGAGCCTGCGCCCAGCCTGGGATGAGGGAGCCTTTAGGGGTTTGAACAAATGGAGACAAAATGTCTGGAAGGCCTCCAGGGCAAAGACTGGAGCGGGGATCTCTGTCCGAGCTGCCTGCCGCCACCTTCCCAGCCACTCCAGGGAGAGGGATCACAAGGAGGTCTCCCTGCGGCCTCAGTTCTACGCACGCACCACGGACACAACACAACAACGTTTATTTTGCCCCAAGAGAAATTCT